GGGTGACCCGTCGTGTGTGGGGAGGCAGGTGACCCGTCGTGTGGGGAGAGGCAGGTGACCCATCGTGTGTGAAGAGGCAGGTGACCCGTCGTGTCGGGGGAGGCAGATGGCCCGTCGTGTGTGGGGAGGCAGGTGGCCCATAGTGTGGGGGGAGGCGGGTGACCTGTCATGTGGGGGGAGGCAGGTGGCCCGTCGTGTCGGGGGAGGCGGGTGACCCGTCGTGTGTGGGGAGGCAGGTGACCCGTCGTGTGTGGGGAGGCAGGTGACCCGTCGTGTGTGGAGAGGCAGATGGCCCGTCGTGTGAGGGGAGGCAGGTGGCCCGTCGTGTCGGGGGAGGCGGGTGGCCCGTCGTGTGTGGGGAGGCAGATGGCCCGTCGTGTGTGGAGAGGCAGGTGACCCGTCGTGTCGGGGGAGGCAGGTGGCCCGTTGTGTGGGGAGAGGCAAGTGACCGACTGTCTGGGATTCAGGTGCTCCTGTACTGGTCACAGGGCCTCTGGAAAGGTCACTGTGACAGATGACGGGGGCTGGCGCCCTCTTCCCACTGGTAGGATTTGTTGCCCAGGAGACCGTCTCGGCCAGAACAAGATGATTTTTTTACGTGGGAATAATCAGGAGAATGTTTTTAAGGGACATAACCCCTACGCTCCTCGCAGAGAAACAGCCGGCCATTATATCCATATTTTATGACCGCGCACACATCCTGACCACTTCTCTCGCCGGCCGCGGGGTGATTTATTCGCTGTGTGGCTTCTTCAGCGCTGAGCCGGCTGACACCAGGCCGGTGCCCCAGGACGCAAGCTTGCAAACAGAGCTCTGATTTGCAGACCGGAGGGTAATTGTGGAGATGTTGCCAAGGCGTTCGCCTCGCACGGCTCTTTAATTTCTGCAATCTCTGATGCCCACCGGCCGTGTGGAGCATCCTTATTCAGGGCCTTGCTCGATTTAAGTCCCTGAAACACAGATGCCCTGTTCCCTGGCACTCAGCTCCATGAGGCCGCCCTGGAAACGCCTTTAATGGCCATAATCCCCCAAAACGGAGCCGGGGGCCTTAGAACTTCAGAGGGATTTTATGAGGCCACTCGCACCCCACCGGCTTCGTGGGCTGACTTTTAAGGTCCTCACTAGACAGCTTTGGCCGGGGGACCCATCCTTGGCTCACTGAGAAAAGAGGCAGCAGCAGCTGAGAGGCCCCCGTTAAAGCACTGATTGGGGGAAGGGGTACCGGCATGTGTCCTCATCTACTGAGTCCAGAAACAGCTTCCCGTCTAAGCCGCTGAGTTGCTGTTGCCAGTGTGACCCCATGCAGGTCGTTAAAGGGCCTTGGGGCACAGTGGGTGACATACCACAAGCTAAGGCTGCAGCCAGGGGCACACCCTTCGAACCTGGAACCCCACCACCTGCAATCATCTTCAGCAAGCTGCCCTCTTGGCCAATTCTGCCTGCAGATGTGGGGGTCTGTCCTGCTCTGTGCCTCGGAAGGTACCAAGCGCCATGCTCACACCTCAAGACAGGACATTTCAGGTGAAAAGAAAAAAATATTAATATTCTTTATCCCCCTGAAAACTCTTCGGAGCCGGTGATGCTAAGCGACACAGCAACTGAATCAGTCTTCCTGAGCTCCGAGGGCATCGTCTGGAGGGACCTGCGCTGCTCACCCCAAGGCTGTGCCTCTCTGGTGGCTCGAATCCACTAGCAGCTCCGAGGCAGACGGCAGACAATCTCCTCCTGTGCAAGTTACAGCCCTGGAGATCCCTGAAGGGTCGGTTAGAAGTGGGTTCTGACAGCAGGGAGGGGGAAGGTTTGGGCTTTTAACAGATGAGTCTCCCACCCACACAGAACACCCCGACCGGACGCACAGTTCCCAGGACAGTTGTCCACACTGGCGTGGGGGCATCAAGTGGCCTCGGTCATCACTCTCCCTAGAGTCCCCCTCCTGAGGGGACTCCCTTGATTGCCAGCCACATTTGTATCTGCTCCTCAACAAAGTGGCTCACAGGCCCTTTGCCACAAGCATCTACAAGGGGCCAAGAACAGGAGACTTGCCTGAGGATGTAGCCACGGAGCACCCCATTGTGCTCAGTTTCGGGGGGCGGCTGCCACTGCACCATGATGGACTGGTTGGTACGCCCACTGGCCACTATGTTTTTTGGGGGAGCACTAGGTGGTTCCTCAGGCAACACCAACCTGGAAATAAAAGTCAGGTGCAGGGAAGAGGTCAGTGTCAGGAAACGAAGACCGCTCCTCTGTCTCAGTCCTATCATGGCTCGAGCCAGCTGCTGCTGTTGCTGCTGTTGCCAGACTCTCTGAACAAACCCTGTCCTATCCTGTGCCACCCTCCCAAACAATGCCACGTCCAAACACATTCAGTCAGCTGGTTTGCTCAAATCAGGTCTCAAGAAGAGCCAACCCCCTAGCTGACCCAACAGAAACAACTGCATGGAACATTTAAACAAGCCCAAGGGGTAGAAATCAGCAAGGCCAGGAGGGAGCTCTGGTGGCTCAGTGGTAACGAACTGCACTGCCAGTACAAAAGTACACAGTTCAAATCCACCCGCTGCTCCGTGGGAGAGAGATGGGCAATCTCCTCCCATGTGGTTTACTGCCTCTGAAAACTCGCTGGGAGTCAGCTAGGGCTCGGTCCTGACTCGATGGCACACAGGCAGCAGCAAGGCTTGGCTGGAGGGAGGGCCTCCCAGGGTCCCAGTGACCTGCGGCACCTCCGCCCTGGGAAGATGATGAGCCCATGAGAGTGGCTCAGGTGCCATCTGTGAGGACCTCAAAATTGTCCCCAGCCAGCTCCCGTACACTGGGGAACAACAGGACATTGGGATCTCTCCTGCTGTGCCACCGAAGCCAGGGAATGCCAGGCAGGCGAGGGAGGGCGCGTGGCATCTGATGAAGCTCTTTTCACACCTGACCCTGGACAGGTGAGCGCAGGTGCTACGTGGGGCAGAGACCTGGAAGCGCAAACCCGAGACTCATTCCGCTATAAGGTGGCCTGTCTCCCCCCTGCTGGCAGGACAGCTAAGGACAGGGGGACGCTTAAGCACTTAGCTCGAGGACACAGAGGGCTGTGCGAGGTCAGCAGTTACTGTGGGCCCAACTAGAGCACCGTGGGAGGAGCCACAGAACTCTCCTCAGAGCAACGAGGGGACCTGTCCAGGCCGACTGCTGCCCTGCGCTCCGCCCTGGGCCAGGCTGCTCAAGTCTGTGCCATCTGTGCCGGTGTTACTCCCCTCCCAGGACACCACGCAGACCGCCCCCCACCTGCCACGGACACACCGCCCAGACACCGCGGGCCCGTCCACAGCACCTGCTGGTCTCCGCGCTGTACTGGCCCTTGCCCACTTGGTTGACAGCGCACACTCGGAACTGGTAGGTGCGCGCGGGGGTCAGGCCACTCACAGTGACCTCGGTCATCTCAGGGCCAACACTGGACAGATGGACCTTCCACGGAGAGTCTGCAGAAGGAAGCAGGACAGACAAGAGCCCACGTGAGTGCAGCCACACAAGGAGGGGGGACAGAGACAGTCCCTCCAGAAGGCCAGCCTCCCGAGGAAGCCAGACTCTGGATCCCTGGATGCTGATGGCCTGCAACCAACCCTCAGATCATCTCTACCCTTAAACCACACACTGCCCTCAGGGCTGCCTCACACCAAACACCAGCTTAGTCTGACTGGCAGGATGGACTGGCCCAGGGGCTGTCCTGATGGCATGAGGACCATGGGGACAGAGCAGGCAGGGCAGGCTCTCCGCTGTGGTCACTAGGAGTCAGTGTCAACTCAATGGCCCCTAACAACAACAGTCAAGAGTGGGCAGAGTTCTGAAGTGCAGCGATGGGCAGACTGCTGGTAACTGAAAGGCTGCAGGTCTCCAGGGTTCAAATCCACCAGCAGCTCTGAGAGAAGAGCCTTTGTCTCATCAAGATTTGCCGCCTGGGAACCCAGTGGTGGTCGCTGAGTCAGAACAGACGCAAAGGCGGAGAGCGAAGGAAGGCAAGGAGGTTTGTCTGAAGCGTTAAGCTCTTTTAAAAATGATCTAATTCTTCTGCCACTGAGCTGGTCCCAATGCACAGTGACCCTGTTGCGGTTAGGTGCCCCCGAGCAGACTGGCACACGACAGCCCCACACAGCACACGTGCACATCCTGTGTCCACCTCACCCTCTCTGCTGGGCTCAATGAGCTCACTGCTGGTGTCACTGCATCAGCCCAGCACGTGGAGGGAATCCACACAGGGTTCAAGTCTGAAAATCTGTGTGGAAGCACACTGCCTCCGTTTTCTCCGAAGGAGCTATGGGTGGGTGTGAACCACCAGCCTTTGGCTAACACCAGACCTCCTGCTGGGTTTGAACCAGTGACTTCTGTGCAGCCGCGTACAGTAACCATGGCCCTCTCTTCCTGAGCTGGAGCAGCTGTCCCCGGGGCTCCAAGGCTGTAGATGTTCACACGCTGCCCACCACCTGCTCAGCGGGCCGAGGACTCGCACTGCGGACCCGTCAGCCTGACATGTCACCCACTGCGTGTACCACGATCTACATTGGGTCACATTGGCAACAGCAGCTCAGAGGGTCCGACGGGAAGCTTTTGGGGTAGAAGTTTGTGTTAATGGGGGAGGAAGGGTCGGGAAAAGGAGGGCAGGAGGGTGGCACGTCTGGAGGAGAGCCATCAGTCGAGGGTGTGGTCCAAGCAGAAACCGCTGGACCACGGCCTGTTGTGCTGTGTTGTTCCCAACACCCAGCCACAACACCTGTATTTCCTGAGACACCACCCAGGCAGCCCCAGAGACTGAGGTGGTACCCCATGCGGCAGGTGCACACTGATGCCACGGGCACCGGCCTGCGCCATGGTGCCTGCGGTGAGACTCGATGTCCCACTTCTCTCGCTGTGCTGCCGCCACCAAGGAAAGGCATCATTTCATTCAACTCCCATCTACCCATCTCAACCCACAGACTCCGAAGTCTTCTGTTCTGTGTGGTGGAGGGAGCAACACCGCCGTGGATGCCCACGGTTGGGCAAATTGCTTATCTGCTCCCAGAAATGGAATGCCGCACATGCTGCTGACTGATAAATAAAAACTATATTCATTAACATTTTAATAAAGGAGGAAATGAGCGTGATGGAGGCAGATGGGCTGTGTGCGGAGCCTTCTGCTTGCGGCCCCGCTGCACGCCCGCCCTGTGGCTCTGCTGGAAGGGGCCTGCGAGGCCTGCCTGCCGGGAACTTCTCTCCTCCCCATGCCTGCTCCCTCCCACAAGAAAAGGCTACTTTACACACACACACAGAGTTTAGGGAAAGAAACAGCTAACGATATATAGTCAGAGAGCTTCTTGGAAGGACAGTGAGAATTTATGTCATGCACTCAGATCATGTTAGCAGGACGTTCGGTCTTAGAAAAGGCTGTCATGTCTGGAAAGCAGAGGGTCTAGAAAAGAAAGGCAGCTCCTCAGTGAGCTGGCCCAGCAGAGGGGCTGCAGTCCTGAGCGTGAGCCCTGTAGAACCTGTGTGCGTGGGCAGACCAGGCAGGTCTGTTACAGGCGGGGGGTCCTCCAGTCAGACGCGGACACGCTCACTGTCAACGCAGGGGTTATAAAGTCACAACTACATGATCATGTCAAAGTTACACTGCTACACTACAACAACAAAACAATCACATTTTCAAGGTTAGCCTTATTTTAATCAATGGCACCATGTGACTTTCTCGCAGGTCTGGCTGCAATGATTAGAAAACGACCCAGTCAAAGATTATTATTTATAGGGATCAGGAACTCTGAAATCGTATGAAACACCAGAGAATGGTAATTTTTTCTTTTAGATTTTGGTCTGTTTATCAACACCACTTGCAGATAATTTCCCATTAATTATCTTTGGTTTCTAATATGTCACAATAGAAATCTGGCTGCAGCTGGATGCATTGGTGACATGTTACTGCCCCAGTGTGGCATGAGTGAGCTCTGTCCATATGGCACAGTCCACAGAATATGAGCTGCACCACTAACTAAAAAGCCCACGTCTCTGGTGGTTCGAATCCACCAGTGGCTCTGGGAAAGATGGGCAGCGTCCCCTGTGGTCTACCGCCTCAGAAAACCTGCTGCAGGGCCGGCTGTGAGCGGCCCAAGGACTCAACTTGAGAACCACATTCATCGCTAGCCCCCCTCTAGCCACCAGAAGTCCCAGAGAAAGGAGATCCTGGTGACACCTGTTCATCCACACCGAGACACTGGCAGCTCAGATGTGACACAGAAAGCTCAGCCCTCTGAGGTGTGCTACCAGCTGTGTTAGAGCTTGGAGCACTCACTATTCCAAATACAACTGATGCCAGAAATGGCTTCCAGGGAGGGGAGTCCACGCGGCCAGCCACGCGTGGCAGTGTCCCGGCTCTGCACATTCAGTCGTACATATAATCTACGTGTTCCTGGACAGCAGCCCTCCTCCTGTCCCCTAACAAATGCCATGTCTGAACCTCCAGTTAACCATGGAGAAAATCACCCCAATTTTCTGCTTCATAGTTGAAGCTACGGGCTTTTTTCTGCGATCAAACACCTCTTGCTGATCTGGTTATCTACGCAGGCCTCTTACAGAGGGGACATGTGTCAACGTGCATGACGGAACAGCCTTTCCTGCACCGTGGAACTTGGCCTTGGATGGGACGAACCAGGGCCTCTCCACGCCAAGGCAAGCTTTAACAGGACGACTGTTGATTGTTAAGACAATAGCTATATAGTAGACAACACGTGTGGCAGGTCAGGAGTCCATGGTTCCTTGACTTTGTTTTGTCTGCGAATGTGGGGCAGTAGCACAACACACCTCATCTGATTGAGATTTGCTTGTCCCCCACTTTGCCCTGGTGGCATAACAGTGTGAGTGCTGGGCTGCTAATCAAAAGGTTCATAGTCTGAACCCACCAGCCGCTCCTCAGGAGAAGGATGGCCGTCTGCTTCCATGAAGATTTGCAGGCTCAGAAGCCCGGTGGAGGGCAGCAGGAGCTGGAACCGACTCGGTGGTGCTGGGTCTCATGCACAATGTGGATACACATTTTTCTGTGTTTTGGTTGGGTTTCTGCGAGTTTTACAAATTAAAGGTCTGCAGCATCCCTGCATAGCGCGAGTCTAATGGCTCCATTTCCCAGCAGCACGTGCTTGCTTTGTGTCTCGGTCTGTATTTTGTTAATGTTCACATTTCAAGCTGGGTTAACACAGCAGCTGCGGTGGGTTTGAGAAAGGCGGAGCAAGAGGTAAGTCAAGGTTTCGCTCTATTGCTCACAGGGTCACTAAGGGGGAGTCAGAATTAATCCAGAGGCACCAACCAGCATCACAATACTGCATATTTGATGGACTATTCCCACCTCTGAATTGTTATAGTGTTTTCAAATATGAATTACAGCTTTCAGTACGGATTACATTTCAACGTAGAGAAAAAAAATCCTTACCACTGGATCAATAGATAAAAACATGATCGATGGAGAAAGACTGAAATTGTCAGCTATTTCATCTTTCTTGGATCCATAGTCAATACGATTGGTAACAGCGGTCAAGAGATTGGGAGACATAGAACATTGGGGAAAACTGCTAGCAGGGATAGCTACAGAGTTCTGAAGAGCAATGATGTCAGTCTAAAGACTAAGGGACATCTGATTTAAGCCACAGTCTTCCCAATCGCCTGCTATGCATCTGAGAGCTAGACAATTAATAAGGACGAGAGGAGAATAAGGATGCATTGGAGCTGTGGTGTTACGGAGAGTGCCGAATATCCCATGGACGGCCAAAAGAACAAACAGGTAAGTCTTAGAGAAAGTGCAACCAGAATGTTCCTTGGAGCCAAAGGTGGGGAAGCTTCATCTTACACCTTTTGGATGTGTTATTAGGAGAAGCTATTCCTTGGAAAAGGACATCATGTTTGGAAAGTGGAGGGTCAGTGAAGGAGAGGAAGGCCCTCCACAGGATGGAACAGTGTGGTGTCTGCGGTAATGGACTCAAATGTGCCGAGGATGAGGAGGAGAACAGGACAGGACCGAGCTCAGACCTCTTGTCCATGGGCCTGCTCTGAGTGGTCCTTGACCTGAGAGCACTTAACTGCCGTCCCTACCTCACTCCTATCCTGTTGCTCTAACTCACAGTGACCCTCCGTTGGGCTTCCGAGGTTGTGAATCCTTCCTGCGAGGCTCAGCTGGTGGAGTGGAATTGCTGGCCTTTCAATGAGCAGGCTGATAGGTTAGGCAGAGGCCACCAGGGCTCCTCGGTAGATGAAGTTATGTGTAAGCATACTTTTTCGATGCACTAGGGAGCCAGCAACATCAGAAGTCATGTGACTTGTCTCACTATGATAATCGCTTTTTCCGTAGTCTGGACCCAGACCCTCAATCCCTCTGCGTTCTGCCTGCAGCAGATGAAATGTGGAGACCAGGAGGTGGCTCTGAGCTCACCCACTGACAGCTAGATATTGTTTGAGCTTCATTTGAAAACAT